TTATTTTCATTATTTTCATGGTTGTATTGATAACAATAATTATTATTAGCCTCTAGATGATTCATGCATGAATAATCAGAAGTTACCATGATTGAAGACTATTTTTTGGTTAATTTTCCATTTCTAATTTTTTTCTTTGATAAATTATTTTGTTTGTTACTAAGGACAGCAATTATCGTATACAAAATATTACTTCATTTCAACCATTCAAATAGAACAAACGATTGAAAATTTTAAATTATTATACAGCAAAAGACTCTCATAAGAACTGTATCACGCTATTGTACGTGTAATGATTGATAGTGTTATTACTGTCAACTGATAGCTAAATCGCTAATGCACAATGACTAATTGAAGTGTTTATTTTATGATCACTTGCAATCAGCTACAAAAATCAATGCATTTTGTAATGTTTCCTACGTGTGCATCTACACATCACGCAGAAATAGATGGTTTAATTTCGTTCTGTTTGCTTACATCACTACCAGTCATTATTTCTGCTCCTCTCAACTAGTATTTACTTATTTATTTATTTATTATCTGTTTTTGTATTCTTTTATTCCATTCATTACAAGCGGTTAAGTATTGAGTTAATTGTAGTGAATTTCAATTCTCATTGCACTGATTGTAAGTAAGTAATCATCAAAACCATTATTTTTTATTCGAATGTTATGATAAGGAAAGTAATAGTAGATAGTTGCAAACAGCATTAATTATCATTTAATAATTTTAATAAAACATTGATAACAACCCTCTGAAATGATAGTTTTGTAAGCAATTTTATCAGCTCTATTAGTAATATAATACTGATGTTTAATATTCGGCAAATTGTGTTTTAGTCATTTTTGTGGAAAATAAGAGTTACAGTAGATAACTGTTAACAAGAAAGAATTTGATACTGATAATATTGGTTAAAATGCAGACATTGATAACACTTTTTGATACAGAAAATGATTGCATTTTAATTCACATAATGTATTACAGTACATGATTTATCAAAAATCATGTGTTACCACGCACTACAAAACTATATATTATTAATAACTGCATAGAAAATAATTATAATTTTTACAAAACTTGAATTAAAATATATCATATTGCATATTAGATCATATTATTTTGCTAATGAATATTTATTATTGCTGAATAGTAATGATTGTTATTTTAATTGTAATATTTGATACTTGCAGATCACTAACTAATTACTTACATAAAAATTTGAAAAACTTACTTACAATAATGCAAATATGGCAAAAAAAGAATGATAAAAGTAACAGTAATTGAATGTTAGTATTTTATATCATTTATTGACTTTTATTACTATTCAGTTAACTTTTTGATCTTTAAATGCATTTCATTCCTTTTTGGGTCTTTGCAATTATTATTTTCTTCTCATTATCAACGCTTAATTGCTTAATCAAATATAGCAATCAAAACTTAGAAAAATTTTCTACCCCAACGAAGCCTTTTTCGACTTCTACATTAATCTGTTATTCGCACTTTCTCATTTAAGTTTGAAATTAATGCAATAAATAAGTATTTTCCAACGATTTGTCTAGAATCAGTTTGAAAATTATCTTTTCACTTTCACTTCTATCAAATTTACTATTGCTTCGACATTTACTACTTCTAATTAATCTTACTTCGATTACTGTAATAATAATAACTGTTTTCATCCTCCAATTAGAACAGTATTAATTGTACTTTTAAAATAATTGAGCAATTCAGCACATTTAATAATCAATATTTTTTCATTGCGCAAGCTTATGTTGTTTGCTTGATATTAAAATAAGATATGGATTTCTGATTTTGTTATTTCTTTCAAGCAAAAAGTGCTTATAAATGTTAAAATTCAGATAAAAGTGGCAAAATGTGCAATTGTTTGGAATAATAATTAAATTAGTACCGCGGTATTAACAACTGCTTCTAATATCGCAAGCTATTATTCCTCTACTAATAATGGTACAGTTGTTCAGTGCCATAAATTAGTGCTTGCTAAAAATCTACCTGAACTAGAAGTTTCGTTTACTAAAATTAGCTCAGCAGTTCACTACCACAATGCGTTGGTGTTTCAGTGGTGGACAAATTTCTCCGCCACCACCATCAGATCGGGAACGAAAGTTCCCTCTAAATCCATGCACTTCCAACACTAACGATTTGCCTTCCTGCAGTGACGAAGACCAACGACGATTCCCGCAAGTTTTTTGATTACTATATGTCATACATAAATATGAATAATTTAATAAATAAATGAGCGAATAAATAAATAATGCCTGCTAACAAACACTTAAGTATTAAGTCTTGACAAATTATAAAGATGGCATTTTTAAGAGTAGCAGAAAAGTTAAACTCGATGGCATCAAAAATTTCAAATCGACCTTTGCTTGCACCAAAACCTAAATTTGACGATTGGGAAGAGATGAGAGCATCACAAAGGTTTCAGAAATCAAGTCATGTCGAGAATAACAATCGCAATTGTGACAGCATCCCTTGGAGGCTTCAGAAAATTGGTTTGGTTATTTTTTAATTTTCTGCTATGCTTGCAAAATGATCAAGTATAGTAATTAAAGTAGTCAATATAAATATTATTGTATCTATTGTAAGCTTGTACAATTATATTACTGCAATTGTAGTAGATAATTTCTTCAAATAAATTGTTCATTTCATTTTTTCCATCACTTCTAGTATATATGTGATATCTTGAGAATGCCGTGAAATCACAGACATAGATAGAAAATAGGACAGAATTACTCATAATTATTCGTATTATGCAATACTTTTGCCCAGCATTCATCTGATTAATTAGAAGAAAATGCAAATATATTTTGTTAAATTTAATGATGCTATTTTTTAGCTAATGGATAATCATTAGCTAAATCCACAGTTCTATCGCTTTCATAAAATACTGCACTATTTTTATTGTTTTTAAAAATTTTCACGAATTTCAGTTTAAAAAATAGATAAAAATCTATCTGTTTGCATGAATGTGAATACATTTCTTCTTCGCAAACCACAACATGTCTTTATTTTTTGTCATATTTTATTTTGAATAATCACTTTTGACGCATACTTAATGATACATTCGATGAATTCTCAGTGCATGCCATTACAATCTCAATTTATTTTGACTTGAATGCATACTGAATCATCCTCAGCAAGTGAGAACTTTCTCAGCGGAATCGAAAAAAAATTTGCAAAAAATGCAAACTATCACTAATACAAAATTAATTTCATCTCCTTTACTTATATCAATAAATTATTCATCAATAATTTATTCAACTTAAATTCAAATTTA